CGCCCATCTCGTTGAAATGACTCTGGGTGGTTTACAAAACAGTTAAAATCAATTAAAATGACAATATACGATAATCTTAATAAATAGAAAATAAATAGATCCAAGAATAGATATAAAATTAGAAGTCACTCAGGGAGTGTCAAGACGCCAGCCACCCCCAGGATTGGGTAAGATTGTTGTCACCCCCACACAAGCTGGCAGAGCCAGGTCTTAAGTCCTTTCCTGAAGACTGGGAGGGTAGGGGCCTGCCACACCTCTGCGGGGAGAATATTCCAAAGGGTGGGAGCAATGGCAGAGAAGGCTCTCCTCCTGGGCCCCACCAGCCAACGTTCTCTCACTGATGGGGTCTACAACATGCCCTCTCTGCCTGACTGGGTGGAATGGGTTGATGTGACGGGGGTGGATGCTTTCGGATAAGCAATACAGTAGGAATGACCACAGCCAGCCCTGCTTTGGATTACAATAGTATCATTACAATACTCACCCTGAGAGCCATAGGTGACCTGGAATAATCAACTATATCACAGCGATATGTATAGCCTGTAGCCCAGCCAGACATGAGGAACTAGAAGTAGAAGAAAAGGATTTAATGTAATATTTAGTTTTTAAAAATATTGGATTGCATAAATAACTACAGTGAGAAGGAACCAGAGTTAATTATTAGTAGGTACAACACACTCTGCTGATGGCTCATACATACACACAATTGCTGAATGCTACAACAGCCCCAAGGAAATGCTTTTTATGTGTAGATTTGCTAAGCTTTTTCTTTTGTTAACTGAATAAACTATAAATGGCTGGCTTCATACAATTCATTAAACCCCAAACAAACAAACCTTATTATAGTTTAGTGTGGTATGTGCACTCAGCCTGAATGCACATACACAAACAGGCTGACTTTCTTCCAAATAATGCCTTCAAAATGCGTAGCATTTAATTCTCAAAATTTCCCAGCCAGCACAGCCTTTAGTGAGCTGACTGGAGAATGCAGGAGTTGAAGTCCAAAGCATTTGGAAGACACCAACTGGTGTACCGGGCCCATGGCCTGCCTCTCTTTCCTTGGCTAAGCAAGTAACGCTGCATCACAGTTTCTAAAAGCATCTGAACAGAGTACAGATTAAATGGCTATCCAAACCAGGGTTCTTTTTTTCTGTAAAGGTAACTACTCATTATCATTTATTGCTAAAAGCGCACTCTGATTAGCCTACTGGGGACATACGCAACTTGAAACAAGGAGAATTTTATTTAATTTATCTCCTGTAATATTTTTCCCAGGGGTTGACATAGAACAGAGGTAAATAATCAAAGACCCAAGCGTGCTTGCGGCCTTCGTAAGCAATGGGTATAGCTGCCATCGGTTTCCAGAGTTCATACAACATCATCCCTTTAATGTGATAAAGAGGGGAATAATTCAATATATGACTGGAGTATAATCCTATAAACTGTATTTAATTTTATTTTATTAAAGTAAAAATTAAATCAAATTCCTTTTTGTCCCACTCCCACTTACTGCTTTCTGGAGCAGTCCCCAGCTTGTTATGCCCAAGGCTGTCTAGAGCTCCTATTGCAGGACTGCGACAGAGGAAGGTGACACTCATTCTACAAAGCCTGATCATATCTCAAGGATGCTGTGCATAGCAGTTCACACCATAATAGGAAGCTAAAATGTAGTCTTTGATTTCAAAAATATGTCTGTATACCTCGATTACATTTCTGTTCACATCATAAAACCATTAATATTTTGAGAAAAGGGGAAAAAGCATATTTTGTACATCTGTAACTGCTGAAAATTATAGTTTAGCAACTTTCTTCTCTTCTACTTACTTCATACGTCATATAAATTGAAAGAGCCACTACACCAAAGTTGTAAAAAAACATTATTTGCCTCAAATCAAAAGGCTTTCTGTTCTCCATGAACTTTGGTCCTAGATTAGTGACAATATATATATAAGCTCCAATAATAAGTGTTTGTGGTAAAGGTGAAGACATGAGTGGGTAGCCATCAACTCGTGGATCTGGAAAAGAGATATTAAAAAGTATTTTAATATTTGTAGACTCTGACTTAAATAACAAGAATGTTCTTAACCTAAAGGATTGCATATCTAGGTTGGGTGTTCACCTGTTCAAGAGCACAAATCTAAGTTTCTTCTTTGCTTTACACAAAAGCTTCACACATACCACATTACATGAAAGCTTCACATTTACTCAAAAGCTAAACTCATAATTGGTAACATAAAAATATTTATATGAATGTTCAAATTATATTATATTCATGAGGTCTGTAACTAGATGACACAGTGTTTAATTATTTTTTTTCCTCCCTCATAAATGTATTCTATTAATTCAGCAATATCTGCTACTGTCAGGACCAATCCAAGATCAGCAGGGGAACAGTTCATCCAAATTCAGTTCCTTAATTGCTTACACCATATAGACAGACTCTTGCCAGACTAAATCTGTAGTACTATAACCTAATGGATGTACCCTGGGAGATTCTAGGGAGTGTCTATCCTAAACTACTTACACTTCCCACGTTCCAGCTCCAGACTGTGTTGTCTTTTGTCTTTCTGCCCTTTCTGGAATGCACCTCCTCCTTCCTGATAATCTTGCTCTCTACTGCAATCCACCACAGCTACCTCATACAGGCATTTAAGATCTAAGTAAAAGGTCATCTCTCCCTAATCAATCGTTTTCAAAATAAAAACTGATTCATGGAGTTCTTGGTGCTGAGCTTGGTTATTTGCTTACCCAATTAGGTATCAGCACACCAAGAACTCCATAGTTCAACTCTGAGCTACACATATTCTCTTTCTTTGGAAAAACTGATTCATCCATATGGTCACTGTACAGTATACGCAGTCCTAGCATAGGTAAGTACTTCTTGCCAACAGTTAAAATGCAGCTAATTTCACTTCTGTTTAATGGATGCTGGGGTGAAGTTCCAATGAAACGTAGCTTTTGTCTGTCCATATATATCATGATAAACGATAGACCACAAATTTTCAACAGTTACAAAACATCTTCTAATAATTTTCTTGTATGTAAAAGATGGCCAAGCGAGACAGAAATGAATTTAGGAGGAAGAAAAGGTCAATACTGGAGGTGTTGAAAAAGAGGCCAAGATTTGTTATGGAGGCATGCGTTGGATGGAAAGGAATAGCCCAGCCTTTCCCAGCTAGGTCCCTCCAAATATGTTGGATTTCAAATCCCAGCATTCCTAGCCAATATGGCTTTAATCTATTGAAGACCAAGCTAAAGGGTTAGGGTTAGGTTTAGGGCATGACAGATAGTTATTGACAACTGTGACAGAGCAGTGGAGACCTTAGAAGGAAATACTGAATCTTCCCAGCAACATGTTAAATTGTAAGCTGCCCAATGTCCAGAAAGAAATATTTTAAGAACATATTGATTTAAACAGAATATGGGATATCAAAGTTGCTACCAATTTTACAAGTTTTACAAATAGTCATAGCAATTTTTAGAAAACCAAAATAAATAAGAGCCAAGTATTGGTGGGGGGATGATCAGGACAAGGACAAGAAGACCCTGATCACAGAAGGCCATGGGAATATTCACTAGGTTCACACATCACACATAATTACTTTATGACTTAGCCCAAGATAAATCCAGGGAACGTCAGATGGAGGAAAAGTTGCTTAGACAAAATCATTAGAAAAGACAAAGACATTCTAGACTGTATCTAACAGAAAGAAATATGTCTGGATTTGGATGGCTTTGAGGTTTATCTCTTCTCTAGTTTTCTTATCTAAAGCATCTCTTCAATAACTTTAGAAATGAAGTAGTTTTTTTTTCATTCCTCCTCCTAATGCTATGTCTCTCATCACACTTCAGCACCTGCTCTCTGCATTAAACCTATATGTAATATTGCAATCTCTCTGAATCCAAATGTTCTTTAATCCTGAATGTTGAAATCTAGAATCAGTTCCGCATCCTTCAACTTTCTTTTGCTATTGGCCAGGCTACTCCTAATGCTGAAGCCATCTAACCCTTCTTATTCCTATTAAGGCCAATTGTGTTGAGAACTGCAATTGATCAACTCTAATGGGAACGCAGAAAAAATCCCCACAAATGTTGCTCTGTGTTTTATATTCCAAAGGACAAATGCTACATACTTTCCTATACACAATCCCCCCTCCGTAAAGAATATTGAGCTAGATCACCTTTCTTTTTGAAGTTTTATTTTTTTCAATGAACAGAAAGCCTTTGATGAGCAGGAACATTTAGTTCTGCATTCTGAAGTGGAGCTATTTCAGGAAGATTTTGCCATGTGTTCTCAATATGTAGAGGAGCTTCTATATCTCAGTTCTTTCATGAGCAGGGCCTACACCCCTTTACTATCAGTACAGCACTTAATGTTCTGCTAGTGCTGAGCAAAGAAAAAAGAAAGCCTGCCTTCGGTCTTTGGTCAACATGAACTTTATTTATTTATTTGATTTATATGGCCACCCATCTCACATGACTTTGGGCGGCTTACAATAAAATAGATAAAAAAAATATAATACAAAACAACAACAACAAAAACATACAGCAGCCAGGAATCATAAAAAACAGCATTAACACAACCAGGAGACAGGCTCTGTCTCACACATGGGGCCCCAGGCTTGGGTGCAAAATCAAGTTTTCAAGGCTTTGAGAAAGCCCAGCAGGGTCAGGGCTAACCTGATCTCCAGAGGGATTATGTCATACTGTTGCTATTTCCTAGTAAATTGTCAAGATATTAAAAGAATAGTTAAAACTAAAGGGATGAGTGAGTCTCAAAACATGGTCCATGGACCACCAATGGTCCTCAGAGATCCACCAGGGTCATAGCTTTTCCACGATCACATTTCAGAGCACTCTGATCACTTCAGCGCTGCCTCCCCATGAACATCAACAATCAGCTACACCTTGCAAGTGTTGGCCCACCTGCTACTTCAATCCCCACCTGCCCAAATGCACCAACAGTCAGCAGTTCAAGTGGCTAAAAACTGATTCAGGGAAGAATGTAAGTGACAATGCATAACTACTAAAACAATATTGTTATAATATTTAGTTTCTAAATGCTTTTTAAAATGAAGGAGATAGCAAGGAATAGCAAAATGCAATCATAATCATTATTTTATTTGCCAAAATATGTGAACTCCCATATTTCTAAAGACAAAAATATTTAGGTATTTTGGATATAAAAATTCCTTGTTCCACTGTGTCATCTTTCAAATTTTCTGCATGTATGTTCTGTGGGACCACCAGTGCAGAACGTTTAGAAAATGCCAGTTTAGATTCTGCACCTTGATCTGCCTCCTTAAAGGCACTATTGGTTGCTAGTGGGAAATGAGAAAGAAGATGTCAGCATCTTAAGATTGTGGGAAGTTAGCTACATTTATAGTAAACAGGACAAATATTATACTGCCTTAGCTTATTCACTGGGAATAACATGCCAGTTAGATCATTTGCATCATTCTTACACTGATCATTCTTACATTTTCAGCTTAATGCACAAGCGCAATTCTTAACTAGAATTTTTTTCAAGATGTATGATTTCCATCTCCCCATTCTCAAAAGCAATGTTAAGAATACATGCTGAAGTAGCACCTTCAAAAAATTATGTATACTTTACACAAATACACTATACTAAGAATGAAAAATTCTGTGTTGAAGAACCAAGTTTAGTAATATCTATCAACTACCCTCAGTCTTCAGGTTTGCATAAAAATATCTTGAAGCATTATTTATAAGCAAGTTTTGTTATGAGCAAGTGTTTTTATATGCTTAAGTTATAATGAAATACATTATACAATTAATGGAACATTAGCAGGAGCAGGACTCACCAGCATCTTTAATCCATTCATCGTAAATCAGTGCAGCCTTCGAAGTCAGATTGTTAAATGCCATTTTCAGAGGTAAGTAGGATTCAGGATTCTTCCTGAAGGCAAATCAGATACGATCTGTTATGAAATCTGTGAAGAAAGAAGGAGTAGTAGTCTTTTCATAATTTGGAAAACCAAATAGATGATTGTTAAGGATTTATGATATTTGCATAACACTGTTTTTTGCTTTAAGCAGTTCATTCCCTGTGATGGAATGGACTTATGAAGGCCAGGCTCAGGGAGATAAGCGTGTTCTTAGCCC